AAAATGAAAAATTTGTTTATAACAAATGTAATTGTTTAAGCAAATAAATTTTTTAAGTTTTTGAAAGAATGTACATATGATATAAATATTTAAAGTTTAAAAAATGACGAAAATGTTTACAAATACAAAAGGAAGTTGATTATTGTTTATATAATTGTTAATATTAATGATAATTTTTAACTGTAAATTAGTTTTTTACTAAATTAGACATAAATTTAAACTTGTCTGCAAAAAAAACCAATTTTTTTTATGAAGAAGGTCCGAAGTAATCTATTTGTTAATTAACATTGTTTGCAACAATTTAAATAAATTGTATTATGCTTTATTAATTGTCCGGTGGTCATACTCGACTAATTTAAATTGATTTCGATCATGTGTAATGGAAAAATAAAAAAATTAACATGATTTTTTCTAAAAATATTGTAATTTGTCAAATTTTTGAGTAACAAGGAAAAAATAAACAATTAAAAATTCAAAAATCGACTTTGATGGATTTCTTAGTAATTTTAAATCAAGAACATGAACATCCGATAAAATTTGTAGTTTCTAGACAATTTTCAATAGTAAGTTGAAAAAAATCCCACTGTTCATCGCGCTGGAGTGCAAAATTGCAAAAAACTATTTATTTAAAAAAATTTTTGCAAAAAAATTTTTTTTTATTATATAAATAAAATATTTTAAAAGTACACAAAAAAACCTTTCTAAAACACTACTTACTTTTTTTAATTGAATAATTTAAGTAGAAACTACAAATGTTTAAAGAATGCATGTTCGAGTTTAAGCTGAAATTTCAACCCCCCACCCTTTTGATTGGGGTGGGGGGTTGGACCTGTAAATTGGTGTAGTAACTTGTACCTACTAGGGTAACATATTTCCAAAGTATAAAGGAAATCCAAGAACTTTTTTTTATTTTTGGGGCAGTTCAGGAATAATGCCTCACAGGTGCCATGAGAGCCATGTTTGCGAGTCATGAATCGCTGTGCACCGCCACAGTTATTTTTTAATAACTTTTTTCGTAATTAACGTACATTTTTTTCTCAAAACGGTTTTGTTTTCAGGGGAATGTGGGCAATACTAGGCTTTTTTTTTTTTTTTTTTTTTTTTGATGCGCAGAACACAATTTGTTATTAACATTTTATAAACAATTAATATAAAAAACTATTAAAAATGAAGTTTTTTAAAATCCAAAATTATTTTTAAATACTCTGTTTCATGACGAAGAAAACCCATATCGTAATTTTTAAATCGGTCAAATAGTTTACGAGAAAAAAATTTTTTAATTTAAGACTACAAAAAAACTAAATTGTTAATAACATTCACAAAAAAATTTTTTTTGTTCTAAAATTTTCAGGGTCTATTTTTTACTCTACGAGGAGTAAAAAAAAATTATTTTCGATAAAAAACAAAATTATTTTTTTTAAAGTGATCCGTTTGAGAAATTCTGACCCATATCTATTTATTTAGTTTTTTTTTGTTGACAAAGAATTCCGTATCTTTCGAAACTAAAATAACTGTTAGTTATTTTCACAAATAAAGTTTTCCACAAGAATTCAATTGTTTTAACTAATAACATTTTCGTATTTTTTTTTATGTCGAAGGATTTATTTGTTATTTGGAACAATGTTCATAAAGTTCTTATGATGAATTCAATTGCTTTTGAAAATAACAAAATTTTGTACAGAAATCCAATTTTTAAACATTTTTATGGACTTTTCCGTAATGATTCAATTATTTTCAGGGATAGTAAGGTTTCTCGAGGGAATTAAATTATTTTTGAAGATTTTAATAAAATTCTTAGCAACTATTGAATTATTAGAATAAGTAATTCTTCAAAAGAATTCAATTATATCGATAAATAAGAAAATTATTGCCAAAAATTATTCCAGAAAATTAAATATTTTTTATATAAAATTCTTCTCAAGAATGACATTGTTTTTATAAGTATTAGTTACATTCTTTCATGAATATTAAAATTAATTACAGGAATTCCATTTATTAACAAGATAAGAAAAAAGTAAATATTATTGAGGAAATAAAAAAAAGGAATCTTTAAAGAATTTTTACAAGTATTTAATTTTTGGCAAATAATAGAATTATTATTAGGAATTCAATTATTTTGATAAATAATAAAGCTAATTGCAAAATTTCAATTATTTTTTTTATAGAATTTTAATCGAATTTCTCGAAAAATGTAATTATTCTAAGGAAAAAAGAATTTTCATTGAAATTTATCGGGAAGTTTAATTGTTTTGATAACCTTTGCTACAATTTATTTATTACAATTTAAATATTATTTTAATAGGTTTTAATTGAATTTCTTTAAAGAATAAAATTATTGCATTCAAAATTTTTAATACAATTCTTTGCGTAAATTATCAATTGTCTTTATAAATAATAAAATTCTTCTCTGAAATTGAATTGTTCTCAAAGCATTTAATGGATTTCTTGGCAAAATTTTAATTTTTTTTTTTAAAAAAATCTTCCCTAATTTAATTATTTTTAATGTCTACTATTCTAATAAAATTTTGCAAACGAATTTAAATTATTTGAAAATTGATTGTTACAATTCTTTGAGGGAATTCAATTTTGAGAACATATGTTTCAATAGTTTTTTTTTTGTATTTAAATAATGAAATTTTCGTGGAACTTTCTCATGAAAATTGATTTGAAAATGGAATTCAGTTAAATTCTGGATTATAATTGAATATTAGAAATGCTAGATCGTAAGGTTTAGAAATGATTAAATTCTGAAAGGATTTCAGATTGGGATCTTTGAAAATTTGAATTTTTCATACTGTAGCTAGCAATTCTGTGGAATTGATTGTTTTAAAGGAAAGAAGTTTAATTGAATTTTGTCCCAAATTTGTGTAAAGTGTTTGTTTTTAATTCATATTTGATGAAGGAATTTCTTAATGATTTAAATTTCGCAGAAGTGATTTGTAAACAAATGGGTTTTAGGGTTCTCGAAGGGCTTCTCGGAGTATTGAGAATAATTTATTCTTATGAGAGGATAGTAATGATTAAAAAAAAAATTTTTTATCTGAAAGTTAAATTATTTATGTTTTCAAATAATTTCGGAAATTGATAAATAAATGTAATGGAACATTTTGAGTGTCTAATTATTTTGGAGTGGTATTTTGTTAGGTAATTAAGCTTTTCATGATCCCCAGATATAGGATTTTGACTCCTTGACATTCTGTTTACGAATAATATTTTCAATTGTAAACTGTTGTGCGAAAATTAGTAATAATAAAAAGAAAAGGAAAAAGAAAGAAGTTTTTTTTAGAAAAGAAAAAGAAACTTACCAAAAAGTAACGTGAGCTCCAACAAAATCCTTCACTTATTATCCAATTGTAGAACAAATTATATATACATACGTATATATATATATATGAGTTATTTAGTTTTCAAATCTTATCACCACCTCACTTTAAAAAATTAAACGACAAACAGAAACGCAATTTGGAATAAAACAGAAACTTGAACGATTTGTATTTATTCTACTATCGCACAGACAATACGCACGTTAGAAAAGGCAGGCACGGACTGAAATGAATAAGCATGGTTGTCCAACGAGGAAAGCATTTTGTCACAAGGAAGTGTTTATGCGATCGGTCACGTCGGGTCGGTACTGAGCTCGCCCGTCGCGCCATTCAATCCCTCGACGGTCGTAAAACTTGTTGAACCAAAGACCTTATGAAGTTTAACGCGTAAATAATGAGGGTCGGGCGGTAGAAAATCATAAGAGAAGAAAACTGTTTCTCTTCTCCGATTTCAACCTCTCTATTTTCACTTGTCTATTTCGTCACAGGCCTATAAATAATATTCTCAGCATTAAAGATTTTATTCATTCCAAACTAAAATTCCTTCCATCAACACTATTTAGAAAATTGACTTTACTGATCTAGTAAAATTCTTTTTTAATTAAAAAGAAAAAGATATATTTTTATTACTTTGGAACGATTTTATTTAGAAATCCTGTTATGATCAAGAACTTTTAAATATTCTCTTTGAAAATATCAATTGTTTTTATAAATGATAAAATTCTTCTCTAAAGCTTAATTACTTTTAAAGGCTCGGATGGGATTCTTTTAGTATTCAGTTGCTTTCAAAATTTTAATTCTCCTCGAAAATCCAACAAATTATTTATTTTACATTTTGATGAATGAATTTTTTAATGTAGTTTTATTTAAAATGAATTTCAGTTGAAAGACTTACATAATGATTGAACTCTAGAAGGGTTCAAAACCCAAATTCTTTGAAATTTTGTATTTTTGTATTTATAACTAACTATTCTGTAGAATTAATTGAAAAAAAGGGGGAAGTTTAATTGAATCGTTGTTGAAATTGTTTAGAGTATTTACTTTAATTCAATAAATGGAATAGAAATAGATTCGATATATAGAAATAGTTTATTCCTATGGAAAACAATAATAATAAAGTTTATCTAAAAGGAAGTTAAGAGTATTAGTATCAACGCAAGATTAATAATACTCAACTCAGCGTCGGGCGTATCTAAGGTGTCAGGTTGCTTTCGTGAGACGTTGTAAATCTCTAATCCGGACCTCTGCAGCGATTAATATAAATAATAATCACTCTTAACGAAAAGAAAATTCCGAATAGAAATATGTAAAATATTTTGATTTCCTTAACATTTTCAAGACAACTTAAAAAAAAAGAATTTTTCTTTTGTTGTTGCATTTCTATGATTTTATACCTAAAATTGCACAAATTTATATTGGAACCTATGAATATTAAAGCGTTTAAACACCTATTTTTTTTAGTAACCTAAAGTTCCAGTCCTTCAGTAATTCAGATTAAAAGCATTTTATAATAAAAGGAATTTTTTATACATGAATATAATAGAACATTTTATTAAAATATTTTTATTTCCGTTTCAATCCACATCATAACCGACAGTTAAAAAGAAAATATATCAATAATTAGTAAAGGAAAATCATGTGTATGTGTGGATAATTTAAAGATAGGCAAAAGAACAGCTAAAACCAGTCCTCCTCGCTGTCTTCTGCATTGACTGTCCCTGCTTCCACTTCCTTGGTACTCTCAGCGGATGGTTCACGAACATTCTCTCCGAATATGTTACCCTCGGGCCCGACTTGCTCCCATAATTCTGGAAGATCTATACTGTTTATCTGAAACAATTAGCAAAAAAATTTTTTTTTTTAAATTTAGGTTAAAAGAAAAGAGAAAGGTATATATGTATATAAATAATTTTACTTACCAATTGCCAAGATCCAACCTGGTGGTAGACGCCTCCCGCGGTTTTGTGGAATCTTTGAACAAACGTCAACTTGAGGGTATCTGTTGAGGAAGTGAAGCCTTGGAAGGGTGGAATACTCGGCAATGCCTGAAACATGCTAAAAACATTGTAAATTAAACCTCAAAGAAAAAATTTTTTTTTTGGAAATAGAAAGAGGGAAGAGAGCTCTATAAATCCAACTTTACAAAGAAAACTAACCAAATTTTTCTGTCTTGAACAAGTTGAAGAGTGTTTTGCTCGAGTAGTTTTTTTAGAGATGAATCCTCAACCAACAATGGATGTTTGAAGATTTTCTGAAAAAGAAAAAGGGGGGTTTTCTATGATTGCAATCAGTTTAAACTTTTATCAAGAATTCAATTATTTCCAATAAATATAAAAATCTTTGCAAAAAAAAAAAAAAAAAAAAAAAAATTATTTTAACTATTTTTATATAAATAAAATTCTTTGAGCGTTTTACTTATTTTCAATACAATTCCAATTGATTTCTTCAAAGGTTTCAATTATTTTTTTTGAAGAATCCTGTAAAATCTCTCCGAGAAAATTCAGTTATTTTAGGAAATAATTTCACAAAGGTTCAGTTATTTTGGAAGCTTTTAATGAGATTCAATTCGGGAATTCAATTGTTTTCAATGACAATGGAATTTTCACTGGAATTCAATTATTTTAGATACAATTTTCATAAAATTCATTTAAGAAAATTCACTTATTTTTACAATGTTGCAAAAGTTAAATTTTATAAAATTCTTCTAAAGAATTCGGTTATTTTAAAAAATTTTGCAAAGATTCAATTATTTGCAGAAATGATAAATTTTTTTGCAGGGTTTCAATTGTTTCAATAAAAATTGAATTCTTTCGATAAAATGTCATTAAAATTATATAATTTAATTTTTGTCAAGAGTTATATTTGGGTTCTTTGGAATGATTGAATTATTTTCGGGAATTTATTTCCATTTTCTTGAAGATAGTGGAGTTTTTTTTTAATGATTTTTACTGGAAGTTTTGAAGGTGGTTGAATTTGATGGGGATTTTCTTTTAAGTGTTAAAAAATCTTGTTTATTATTTATTGTAATTGATAATTTTCCTTAATTAAATTATATTATACGAAGACATGCTACTCACAGTGGCCCAGAATCCGCGTACATAGTATTTTTGTTCGGACGCAATCCACGAGTACTCCTGGTGCCAGCAGCACCGAGAATAGGGTTTATCCTCGACAGTATTTTGCACGGTTTTATTAAAATACCACGCGTCCTCCGGACGTTTCCTGAAGGAGGCCTCTATCCATGGTCCGAATCTAATCATGAATCTAGAAGGAAATAAGGAATTGTTTTTTTTTCTTTTATATAATTTTAGATGTATGTTTATTCAGAGTTGCCACAAGTTAGGAATTTTATCAAGAGTAAAAAAAAAGGGGGGGGACAATTTTGGAATTTATGAGAAAATTCTGAATTTTGTGTCTTTTGTTCGTATTTAAATAGAAATTAGTAACAAAGAGCGCGGCTAACCTCGTACAACCTTTTATAAAATCAGCAATTTTACAAATAACAAAATTTTTTTTCCAGGGTTCAATTGTTTTCTAATTTTAATGGTTTTAATATCTGCGATTTTAATAATATTTCCCAAAAACAAATTTAATTGCAAAAAAAAAAAAATTATTATTTTTGTTATTTGAAAATTTATAAGAAAATGACAATTTTGAAGAAGTGAATTGAACAATGGAAGGTTTCAAAAAGCCCTATCTGCTTGCGAAATTTGAATTTCTTCGCAATGATTAAATTGTTTTCATAAAGAATGGTATTTCTTTCGGAATTCAATTATTTTCATGAATAATAAAATTCTATAAGTATATAGGTGCTCAATTGTTTCCATAAGTAGTGGGGAACATCGCGGGGTTTCAGTTGTTTTGGTGCGAATTTAATTGAATTTATCAAAAATGTAATTGTGTTTTGGGGGTTTTATAAAAGTTAAAATCTTAAAGGACTTTAATAAAATAATATTTAACAGTTCAATTTTAAATGGTTTGAATTAAAATTCTTCGTATAATTGAATTGATTCCAATAATAATAGAATTCGATCATTTTAAGAGAAATATATTGTTGGAATTCATCGGAAGAATTGGAGTGTTTTCACAATTGATAGGGTTATTCTTAGGTATTCAATCATTTTCAGTGCAATTATTAGAAAATTCGATTTTATTCAATAAATTAAAGAAAAAGAAAACGGAATTTTTCAAAATAAAAAAAAATTTAAATGCTTAATCAATAATTTCAATTATAAATAAAAAGGATTATTATAGGGACTTAGAGGAAAATTATTCACGTGGAATTCGGCTACCTTGAAAATTTTCAATGGAGTTCTTCCTAAATTCAATTATTTTCGTAAACAATGGAATCCTTCGAAGAGGTTTGATTATTATCAGGTTTTGATGGAATTCTTTGTAAGAATTCAGTTATTTTACATAACTTTAAATAAAAGGACAGAACTTATAATTATTTTGTTATCTTATTTGAATTGTTGAAGGTATTCAATTATAATCGAAAAGTTTTTTTTTTCTCATAAGAATTAAATTTAAAAAAAAAAAAACATGCAATTATTGAATGAGGTATTTGTTTTGTATTCGAATTGAAATTCTCGGAAAAAGGGAGAGAATTCCACTCGGGGTTTTGAACCATAATTTAACATTAGAGGTAATGTAGCGTGAATTATGGAAATGATTGAACTTTGAAAGGGGGTTAAAATGGAAATCCTTGAAAATTGGAATTTACAATCACAATATTTTTATGATAAGAAACAATAATTATCACTCGGGACACCTAAATTTGTCATGGAATATTCAATGTTACATTATTGTAACAATTTTTGTCATATTTTATAATGATATTCTCATAAGTTATTAAATTTGAAAATATTAATTCCTATAGAAAAGTAATAATGACTGAATAGTAAAAAAAAGGGGGGGAAAGAGAAAGAAAATCTTGATTCTACTCACCCTCTGTCTGAAAAAAATTGATGGCAGTCGTTTTTGCGTTGAAAGTATCGCTGGACCCTTCCTACAAAGGTCATAGGATATCTCCCTTCTTCACCGGCAATCAACTTCGTCAAGAGATGGCCTCTCAGAATGACATTCTTGTCTCCCGGAATTAGTTTGCAGATTTCTCTCCCTCTTCGAACAATATCGATAGCGTCTTCATGTTCATCCTCGAGAGACCAGGATGACCACGAATAAGAACAAGACGAAGAATAACGATCTGATTCCTTGCCAAATTTAATTTTATCTTGTTTGAAACCATTTTCGCGTTTCCTTCGAGACAGAAAACACTAACTTTCAATGAACACTCAAATTCGACACTCACAATCTAAGGTTACAAACTACACCGATCGTCGCGAAGACTGAAAGAGCACTGAACTACTGGAGTGAGGTACTGGACCACTACGAACCGACACTACGTGACTAATCTGACGGTTCCCAATTGCGTTTGTACTACTTAGGAGATGTGCGGGCGCAACGTTAAAATACAAGCGTCTAATTAAATTAAGCACCACTGGGGCAGTTCGAGGAATGTACCATGTTGCGATCAAAATGTCACGTATTTCGGAAGGGTAGTTTCAGTAGTAAGATGGAGACTAGATTTTGGCTCACATTTCAGTGCAATTACCAAAAGCCATTTTTGCGTTCTTAAAAAATTTTATGTAATAGTAGAAAATTAAGAACACAAAGAATTATTGTATTAGTTATTCGAGAAATTTTCTAGAAAATAATTCTTTGAAAATTCCCCAAATTAAAAAAAAAACAAAAAAAAACAAACAAACAAAAAAAAATAATAATAATAATAATTATTATTAAACAAATAAAGCATGCTATTTGTAAAACAGTTTTCAAAGTATATGCTTTCTGCCTTGCAATTGAAATTAGACTTGAAAGCTGTTTTATGTTTTGTATTTAAATTTTATGAAACCATTTAGTATTTAGTAAATAATCGGGTTTCATACCCAATATATTATTGCCGTATCTTAATCTTAATCGGAATTTTAATTAATAATTGACAATAATGATAACCATTTAAGAATGAAAATTTTAAGGCCATTACCGAAGCCACTACTACTTTTACTCATATTATATATAAAATTGTATAATTATTTTGGAAATATTGAAGAAATTTTGTTAACACATCGTCCTACTACGTGCATCTCTAAGTTCAAGGCATCAGGGTTTTCGGGGACGAAAACTGGAATTTTCACGGTGGATTGTTAGAATACTAGTCCTTTAAAAAGAGTCATTTGGCAACCATGTAGAATAAATTTAATTTCAAATTAACCCAAGCATATAAAAGCATCGCAACGCAGCGGCGATATGCTTGAGGATATTTGACACCCTGATAACGTCAAATATCTTACCGAGAGAATGCCTTTAACTAAGAAATGCCTATAAAATAGTTAGAAGGACAAAAGAAATTACTATTTCTTTTCTCCATCTACTAAATAATAAATATAATAAATAACTATTAATAATTATACTAACGCAGTCAATGCCTGTGCGCCGCCGCTTATGAACAATAGCACACTCACTGGCTTCCCCGGCTACAGAACTAATACCTTGACGGCTTTTATGCTACGGATACCAATACAAGTGCGCTATGCTTGCCTCTGATCGCTGCCTGGTTGTGCGTAGAACTTTCCTCTCCCCTCAGGGCCCATGAGCTGTAGACTACAGCTTCAAAACAAACGCACGTGCGTTACAGCTGACGCAAACTACAAGGCAGCATGCCTTATGACACTTGAATTTACGAATCAAGTCAGATGCACATAGAAACAATTAACAATAGTTAAACATTTTGTTGTAAACATTGTTGTTACAACAAAATGCCGGAGGACATTAGGTTGTATGTATATGTATATATATATATATATATATATATGTTGCTCAATATGTAAAATGCATATACAAACAATCTATAAAAAGTAGGAACAATATAATTACAATAAATAAATTATATACATTATAATAACTAAGATAAATAATAATTTTATAAATTAAACAATATAATTATTATTTAAATTCTAAGTTATTTCAAATAATATTTCAAAAAGTATCATGTTAACAGACTGTTTCCGTTCTCACGGACCTACCGTGAGATCCAAAACGTCAGCGAAAAATGCATAGACCAATGGGCCCCTGACTTACTCCTACTCTTTACTCCTACTCCTAAAATCTTCCCCGCTTTGCACCAAAGGCAAGGGTTAGAGGCTTGTCGCAAAATTTCAATCATGGCAGTACGAATTCTCGCTTCTTCTCGAAGACACCTCTCCTGGGTCTAACCTAGAAAGTGTTTTGGGACAGAGAAATTTCGCGACAAAAAGCCCGTCCGCGACCCGGAACCCGATTTGCATGAATTAGGGCAGACGTTAAAATTTTCAAATTCTCTGAGCCGGTGGAGTCCAGTGCGGACTGATTTTGGTGAGATTTTGGAATTGTTAATCTATTAAACAGTTCTAAAATCTTGTTATTTATAACCGGCCGGTTGCATAGATATTGCCCGCGTCCGTCTCAAATATCGGTGGCCCACGAGCGCGATCAAAACCAATTATGCAATCTCGCAACCAAAAGAAAATTGCGCGAATCAGACGTCGCGATTTTCAGTAAAAACAAAAGAATTTTCGCCCGACGGATGCTTTGTGATTCGAAAGAGGAATAGCTCCGCCGGTAGTTGTAAGTAAAATAAGTATCGTTTCAATTACATATTCTAACACACACACACTTTCTATTTGTAACACACACTATAACCATTCTGTATTCAAAAGGTATTTTGCTATTCTAAAATAAATCATGTATTCATAAAATCAATTTCTTTACTTACCTAACTAAACCTAAAATTCAAATCATTCTAAAAATAGTGCATTTAACGAATCAGAAGGTAACTTTTAAAAGTAGGATAACATCCCCACAAAATTAAACAGAATAGATAAGAAGTAGAATTCCCTTCCAAATTTTTTTTTTTGTAATTATGAAGTAGTAAATTCGATCAATAGGAAGGTAAATATAAATAACATTTATATTATTTTTAAAAGTTGCGACGTTTCGACAGTTTGGTTCACTGTCTTCATCAGGCTGAATTAAGTTAATTAATTAAGTTTTTATTACATTCAGCCTGATGAAGACAGTGAACCAAACTGTCGAAACGTCGCAACTTTAAAAAATAACATAAATGTTATTTATATTTAGCTTCCTATTGATCGAATTTACTACTTCATAATTACCAAAAAATTAAACAGAATAATAAAACATTCTGGCAGCTTGGTGCCTCCCCAAATCGAGATAAAAGGCCATCTCAAAAGCCTAATTTATAAATTTATTTCTGGTTTGTAACAGAACAAATATGTTTAAAATTGTAAGCATTTTTAAATGTGCCATTGTCTTTATTCAGTTGAGGTCTTTAAATAAATTTAAATAAATTAATTAAATTAAATTAATTGGTGAAATATTGTCAGCAAAATTTTATTGAGATATAATTGTATCAACCATAACATTTTTGTAGCAATTTTTGCGACAAGTTTGTTAGAAAAGTTTGAGCCAAACTTGCTGGAAGGTAATAAACGTTTTTTTGACGTTCACCCGGTGTTAACATTGAGTTAACACCGAAAACGGCCAAAGTAAACTTGCGGGAAAGTAATTAAATTTACATAGCAAGTTTGCTAAAAGTTTATTGCAATATTTCCTGCTATTATTACTCTGCACAGTGTCCAAAACATTCTTCGGGATTGCCTGTCGATTCCCTTTTCCAGTTCGTGACATCTTCTTCAATTTTTGCTTTCCTAATAAGTATGTTATTAATGTCGTCGTCAGTTTCGTCGGTCTTCCGGTCCACTGTGTTAAATCTACTTCCTGAATTTTTGTAGTTTGTAGTCCTCCTCCAATTTTAACAGTTGCAGTCCTTTCCATTTCTTTATCACGAACTGGAATAGGATGTTCTTCCTGAGACACTGTAAAACTGTCATCCTCAATTGGCTGACTGCTTTCATCAGTCTCCGATTGTTGTCCCAGAAGAATTCCTTTTGAGCTGACATTCAATGATTCTAGCCATTCTTTTGAATCTGATAATAAAACAATACTTTATATTCCAAATCCAAATTGAGCAATAGCGTAACTAATAAGAATTCATAAGTGAAATTAAAATATTGATAAATGAAAAAATATAATTTACAAAAATAATATTAATATTTTTTTTTAAATAATATATTTTTTCTAATAAAAAGAGACTAATTGTTTACTAACATATTTGAAGAAAATATTGTTCAAAAAACTTGTTAAGTTACTAAAATAAATGTATTGATATACGATTAACTAAAGATACGTTTGATACAATTAAAAACTTATTTCATTCAATAAAATTTTGTATTAACCTGAAAAATTTATTAAAGTGTAATGTAATAAAAATAATTATAATATTAAAATAAATTTACTGTTTTCAGCAATAAGTTTATTATTATTTTGACATTTTTTAATATCATTTTTTTTCACAACACTTATTGTTTTTTGCTCTATCCAATAAATTAAAGCAAACATTTTATTCAGTTTTTAAAACTGTCTGTAAACTGTCAAAAAATTATATTATTTTTATTATTTTTTTCATTCACGTTCTTATTGGTGCTTACTTCGTACTGAAAAATTAAAAAAAAAGACGAATTACTTGTTTTTATATTTTAAAAAAATCGGACAAGTACGAAATAAACTCTTACTTAAACAAAGGGTTCTGTATACGTACTGAACGTTTAATTTAATTAAAAGTTAATATTTTATATAGTTAATACTTAGTTTTATTAAAATAAATTTTGATACTTTCGTTAAAAATACAATAAAGATTTCTTACCAAATGTAGTGTTAAAATCTCACTGAGTCGGTTAAAAATGTTAAGTGTTTTAAGAATGCAAAACTGCAGTCCACTAGGCCAAGAATTATGAGTGCTAAGGAACCTACATGGGTGATTCTCCTCGTAGCGCACGATTTGGTTTATGAAATTAAAAAAAATTTTTTTTATCGTTATGATTATTATCAATATATTTTTTTGAAGATAAAGGCTTTAGAAAGAAAAATCCATAGCGAACCGGAAAAATTATTTATAATTTTTGTTGTAAACAAGTGTAGTAATTAAGTGTAGTAATTGACTAATTCACTGTTTGAACACATTCTGTCAAAAAAAAATTTTGCGGTAATTTAAACAATATTATAGCGTAAATCTCATTTAAAAATTATTATTTTGGTAATTTATGGAAATTTATAGAAATTTATGGTAATTTATGTAAATTTTGGAAATTTTTGCGATAATTCATAAAAATATGTAAAATTTAAATTATTATTAAAAATTTGGATTTTGGTAATTTATGGAAATTTTCGCGGTAATTTATGGAAATTTATAAGGTAATTTATGGTAATTTGTAAGGTAATTTAAAGAAATTAATTTTGTCGGTAATTTTTAAAAATATGCAAAGTAGAAATCACAATTGAAAATTTTTATTTCGGTAATTATGTAAATTTTTGCGGTAATTTATAAAAATTTTCGTGGTTATTTATGGAAATTTATGTAAGTAATTTATGGTAAACTTTCCTGAGCTATAGGTTTTTTTTATTCCTTATATATGTGGCACCATAACACTACATTTGCACTAAATTCTTCGTAATACGAAGGTCGGTGGAAATTCTGAGGTCGGTGGAAACTCAGGCTG